GGGAATAATTTTTAAAAATTTTCAAAGATTTTAAATATGACACAGCTATTAATATATTTGCTTTTTAATTGGTTTTATAGGGGAAATGTTTTTTTTGTGTTGTTTTTTAACATGCTGTGAGCCGCCCTGAGTCCCTCTGGGGAGAAGGGCGGCATAGAAGTTTAAATATAAATAAATAAATAAATAAATAAATAAAAATATAAATGTTAAAAAGGTCTATGTTCCAATACCAATATCTAGGCCATCTAACCATTAAAACACAGCATTACTTATATGAAAAAAAAAGTTGGATCCTGGACCGGTATCTGCCCTCAGCCTCCATGATGTGATCCTTGCTTTGCCCTCTATCTGCTACCAACTTATGTCAGTAGGAAATTACGGATGATTACTACAGGCTACAATCACATTTCTTAACATGGCTAAACCAACTGCGAGGACTAAAGGTGCAAAAAGCGAATATTGTCGTGGTAGGCCCTAAATAGAAAGAGTGGAAAGAGTGCTAAGAGCAAGACAAATATGGGTAGTCCTCCATTTACAACATTTAGTGACCATTCAAAGTTACAACAGCACTGAAAAAAATGACTGTTTTTCACTTTACAACTTACAACCGTTGCAGCATCCCCCCTGGCAACTGTCTCATATTTATGACGGTCGCAGTGTCCCAGGGTCACGTGATCCCCTTTTGCGACCTTCTGACAAGCAAACTCAAGGGGGGGGGAAAGCAAGATTCACTTAACAGCCGTATGACTAACTTGCTAAGTGATTTGCTTAGCAATTGTGCCAAGAAAGTTCATCAAATGGGGCCAAATTCACTTAACAAAAGTTTCACTTAGCAGCCGAAATGTTGGCCGTAAGTTGAGAACCACCTGTAGGTTTTTAAGGAAGAGAAGTTGCACTGAGCTAGAGTCCTCTGGGTTTATTCATCTTAAACGTGGACAAAGCGTCACACGTATCTGGGAATTTCTTTCATGTCCTGCCAGACCTTTGAGGCTGCAGCAAGGAGTTTTGCTGCGTAACTGACGGAGGGTCATCCCGATTTCCTTGCTGAGCAGCTGAGCAGCTGAATCTGACTTCAGCAGCCAGTCTTGGGAGCAGAAATTCAGCTTCTAGGGAAGAACAGATGGGGTGGCTGCAATGCACCACCGTCTTGCTTTGTACAGAAGAATTTTCCTTTGGGGGCCTATCCTGTCTCTTCCAGTTACAGGCAGTTCTTGATTCACAGCCATTTGTTTAACAATAATAATAAAGTTGGAAGGGCCCTTGGAGGTCATCTAGTCCAACCCCCTGCTCAGGCAGGAAACCCTATACCATTTCAGACAAATGGCTATCCAGTCTGTTCTTAAAAACTTCCAGTGTTGGAGCATTCACTGTTTCTGGAGGCAGGTTGTTCCACTGGTTAATTGTTCTCACGGTCAGGAAGTTTCTCCTTAGTTCTAGGTTGCTTCTCTCCTTGATGAGTTTCCACCCGTTGCCTTCAGGCACCTTGGAAAATAGCTTGACTCCCTCTTCTTTGGGGCAACCCCTGAGATATTGGAAGTCTGCTCTCATGTCCCCCCTGGTCCTTCTCTTCATTAAACTAGACATTCCCAATTCCAGCAACCGTTCTTTATATGTTTTAGCCTCCAGTCCCCCGATCATCTTTGTTGCTCTTCTCTGTACTCTTTCTAGAGTCTCAACATCTTTTTTACATCGTGGTGACCAAAATTGGATGCAGTATTCCAAGTGTGGCTTTACCAAGGCATTGTAAAGTGGTATTAATACTTCACGTGATCTTGATTCTATCCCTCTGTTAATGCAGCCTAACACTGTGTTGGCTTTTTTGGCAGCTGCAGCACACAACTGGCTCGTATCTAAGTGATTGTCCACTAGGACTCTGAGATTCTCTCACAGTTTAGTGACCGAAGTTACAACAGCATTGGAAAAAGTTATTTATAATAGGTCCTTGCCCTTAACAACTGTTGCAGCATCCCCAGGGTGACATGATCGAAATTTGGATGCTTGGCACCTGGGATATGTAGTATTTATAACAGTTGTAGCATCTGGGGTGATGTGGTTACCATTTGTGTTTTTCACAGCCAGCTTCCAACAAGCAGGGTCAACCAGGGAACCCAGATCCATTTAATGACTGCTTGATTCGCTTAATAGAAAATCAGGTGTGGCTCCTTTAACAACTGCGGTGATTAGCAACGGAAAGTCCAGTGGCAATTGTGATCGTAAGTTGAGGACTTCTCTAGTTGCTTCAAGGCCAGAAAGAACCTGGGGGACCTGGGATATTTTGACCTTGTTTGCCTGCAGTGATATGCAGCTTTCTTTTTATGCTAACACCGCCTGCAAAAAATGGAAATTTAAGCAAATTTGATGGTGTGCTTTCTGTTTGTACAACCCAGTAAGTGTCTTGAGTGAGCTGTGAGTCAGATATAATTAGCCATCGGATGACACCAAAAGCTTTTATCTCGATTTGGGAAACTGGACTGTAATTTAACATCGGCTGATCCTCACAGGTGGCACCTTTTTCATTTCTGCAGTTGTATGGAGAACACCTTTCTAAGAAAAAAAAACAAATATAAATATTAATGTTCTTGGATTTCAGCTGCATGTACTCTTCAGGATCATGTCCTGCAATTTATTTCTAAACATTTGGTGTGTTGAAGCTTAATATTCAGAAATTTCAACTTTTTCCTTTCTGTCATGCCCGTGACTAACTTTTAATCATTTTAGCATGGAGTTTTAGACCTTTCTTGGAAGCTGTGTGAAGACCACCACTCCAAACTCACTTGCAAACCAATAAAACCACCCAAATTGTTTCAGGTAGTTTGTTCAAACCTTCCACATGGAATGAAAACAATCAAGTGACATCTCCTGAAACAAAAGGCATTGACCAATCAGAGGGAAAACAGTAGACCCTCCCTGAATCTCTCTGCCAAATAACATTCCACGGGCTATCTGCTTTTTTAACGGGCCATCACATTTATGGCAAAAGATTCCATCCCTTCCTGTGGCTTGATACTTTTCCTTAAAAGAAGCATAAAACTCATCCTTTATGATACCTCCCCCTTAATTAAGAGCACATTAAATGTGCACAGTTTGTAGAATATTTTTTTTGAAGGAAGGAAGGAAGAGAGGGAGAGAGAGAGAGAGAGAGAGAGAGAGAGAGAGAGAGAGAGATGAAGGAAACATAC